CACAAAATATAAAATTTTATTTTTCTAATATAGACAAATTGAGTACTTTTTCCTTTGTTTGAACTTTTGATTTTATATATTTTTTCGTGTGAAATTTTACTGAAATTTACCGAACTTGAAATAAAACGTAAAGATGTACGATACTTCTGCGATGCTGTATATTTTAATTGATAGCGTAGCTTTAACGAGATATTTTCAGAAATTGTTCAAGACGATGCCTCGTCTCTCGACGATCTCTACCTATAACTAGTTAGCCTTAAAACAAAGGGGAAAAAAAAGAAAAAGAATTAGATCGAAGTAACGTATGCAGCCGATATATTTACATTTAAATGCATATACTAGTAACCAGTGCGGCCTGTATGTACACTGAATGTATGTAGATGTCTGTTTGTACGTCTGAATAAGTTTTGAACAAATGCGAAGTTTCGAGGAAGAACTAGTAATGATATAGGCCTCGCGATATATCCACCTTCTCTAATAATATGATAGAACTACAAGATGCATACTTTTAGAGCGTAGAGTTGTGTCGAAACAGTTGTTAGAATCAATTTGTGATTAGAATTCTCATTTTAGTGATCTAATTTTTAAGAGCGTAGGCGCATAATACTGAGTCTGATGAGAGAACGAGATATTCATCGTCATTCACCTGTTTCCACGGTTTCTCGCCGTAATATGCAACAATAGAAACTTATATCTATACAGATAACTACATATTGCATCTATAAGGAAGCTAAAAAGAAAAGTAATATACATTTGATCGTACAATATTTTATATGTATCTGTATATGTATATATATATGTATATATCTATATATAAAATATTATAATATACATCCCCTTGATCTATGATAATTTTTTTTCGCGATAATTAAAAGAAAAGGAGAATGCAATATTTTAGCGACATTTATATCATAGGTTTAATTCCTTTAGCCGTTATCAAGTATTTGTAATACGTGATATTAATTATTATATTACATTACTTTAACAAAATATCGAGATCATAGAGTTAGATGTGTTATTTGAAAATGTTAATCATGTCATTCAATTCAGAGCTCGATTCGAAGATGCGATTGTCGATATAGATGATAATGAATTCGGCAGCGAAACTTTACGACGTGATTATATGCTAATAAAATTAAATGCGAAATGTACATATTGAAGATTGTAAAACAAAACTTTTTTTGTAGGACGTAGAAGAGATACTGTTTTGTATTTGACATTTTTTACAATTATCTCGCTTGAGTTCCTATCTTTGCAGGCGCGATTTATAAATGTGGTATCTAGTATACGTGGAAACAGGCGTCGCGCTTTCTAGTAAAATAATTATTCTTTTTGTAATGTGCTGTGTTTCCTTTCATGGATGACAAATCGAATGAGTGTGCTACGTGTATATATGCATATGTATAAATGTTTCTGTGTACGTAAAACCAATAATTCTTATTCAAAATGATATCCATCTTTCATGTCTGAAAAAATTTTTTTTTTTAAGGTGACTATTCTATATCGTTAAATCGATCAACATATGCAATTTTCCTTTTACGAAAACCCTGTTGTGATAATTTTGATTCTCTTTTGTTCTTCAAAGATGTGTTACACAATGTGCAGAGTAAAAGAAAATATTGGTTTATATAGATATGAAATATAATAATTTTATTGCAAATTGTACAAGTCACTTTATTGAAGGTAGTCCTAGTTTTTCATAAAGAAAAAAAGTTAATCGTCAAAAAAGATGTAAATAAAGCATGATAGTGCATCTTTTTCCTATTTAAAGAAAATCGATAAAGTAACTAAATCTAAATAATTAAAAAGTGCAATTAAGAACAAAGATTACATATTTTAACATTTATTAGCTTAATGTGTCGAATATAGATTAGAGTTCTACTTGTATCGCATATTCCATGTTTTGCACACTTCAGTATAAAAAAACTATACACATGAACTTTCTTCGCACGCTGGTTTTATACTTTTTCGCGATATACAATTGCATACTCTATATATACTAAGATTCCCACATATTTATTAAATTCAATAATACCTCTTAAAGTATATGTATATTCCCACTGAAATGATTGTTACATGTATGTATATTCCACTGAGATAATTGTTACCTGGAGGCAATGGAAGGTTTTTTTGATGTCCGTATGAACTTGTCTAATGAAACGCATATAAAAGCATCAAGAATGTGCAAACTCCGATAACGAGGCCGAGTATAACGGAATCTCTTCTCTTACGTAAATTTATCCTTTGCAGTAAACTGTTCACTGCTGGAAATCGATTGGAGATATCATTGAATTTGGTTCGTATACGTTTAAACGCCTGTCTCTGAGACATCAGATGATCTCGCGTCTCCATGGCTATGCTTATTTGATCATTGATCAATCGATCGGAGCTAAAAAATAAAATAATATATATGTATATATTAACCAAATAAAATAATATAACCAAAAAATGTTTAACATAAGCAGATAATGCAATAACATATAATTAATAAAATATACATCTTATTTAGCATCAGCAAGATAAAGCAAGATTGACTTACTCGTGAATATGCTGGTTTTCTTTGAGGTACATTTCACGCCGATTCAATCCACTCGCACTTTTATAGTTGCTACATGGAATATATATAAATATGATTTTATGTAATTTTTATCACTACAAAATTACTTGCTATATAACATGTAACACTGGGAATAATAATGGACAACTTGTACATACTCTATTTCTTTACGAACGCTGCCTAGCAGATCCTCGCGATCTTTCCTAGCTATAAAATTATTTCTAATCTTGTTAAATTCCAGTTTATAATCTTTCAATATCTCTTTATGACGTTGCATTGTATGCAACATAGCTGCTCCATTTGGTTGTAATTCGCTCATCCTCTCATTTATGAACAGTAACTATATCAATTATACTTGATTAATAAAAATATGTTTACACTGTTTAAAAATATATGAGAGGAGAGAAATAAAAAGAAACCTACTTTGGAAAGTAGTGTCTCTATCTCTGATGCCATGTTCTCAAATACTTGTTCCTCATCCAGAAGAGGAATCTCATCTGCGTTAACATGTCTAGCACTTGTATTTATACCCAATTTACTGAATGCCACTAACTTTGCATCAATTTCGTTTTCCAGATGTCTCGCTTGTTTCCTCAGATCTACAACACAATTTCTGTTATTAGCCCTGCGCACTGTTCCTCTTGCATCTAATGTGCTCTTTTTACATTTATTTATTTGTATTCAATATCATATAAGCTGTACGTTTTCATGAGTTTTACCTAATATATATTGCATCTTCTTCGCAGACGAAGAATGTAAAAAAGAAACAAAGATTACTGTGTATTATTGCATTACTAATGCAATGAGATACTTATGATTGCAAACATATAAAAAATGAAGCAATATACGAAAACATGAGCGATAGTTGAGAAAGTAACGTCAAGTATTTAAAGGACGCATGTCATAAATTGAAGACATTCTTTAAAAGGACTTTCGCGCAATATATTGCAATGTAAACAAAAAGGTCGGGGCTAATGGCACGCATATAAGAGTCTCGCTACATGAAATACATACCTTCCCAGTCGATTACGTCCTGCGAGTTAGCCATTTATCGCAAATCGCAAATGCACGCGTCCGACGCATAAAATGTCACATAACACGTCTTTCTTTGTATTGCTCCTTACCGAGACAATTCTACAGCACAATGAACAGAAAACGCAATACAATATACTAATATACAATTACCAGGCAATGACAAGTGACAAGTATAGAAACTCAACAAATTTCTTTTCTAGAGAAAAAAAAAAGCACGATTTTCAGCGCCATCTGAATTTATTCCCGTAAGCTGTAAAGTGTATGCCACGTGACGAGTAGCGATTAGCGATGTACGTCAAATTATTAAAACCACATACACGTGTTTCTTACGTATAGGCTGCGGTCGAGAAGACGCTAGAGATGCTTCGAAGCATTGCATCAACCAATCAGAATAAAGAAATCTTTACTCTTTTTGTCCTGATTGATCAATCAAACGCTTCGAAGCATTTTTAGCATCTTCCCGACCGCAGCCATAAATATATATAATATATTTTAGATAGTTATCATATTATTATTACGTTTTCAAAATACATCACTCAGCTTTCTTTCACGAACCATTCAGCTATGGAGTGCTTATCTTTATAATGATATAGAATTATTATTTAATTATA